TTAGAAAATATTGCTTCTTTTGCAGGAAAAGTGTGTACGAAGTTCACAGAGACCCTCTGAGCACCTCGGGAATGGGATTAAAAACGTGGTGCTGCTCTTCCTTTGCTTAAGGGAGGACCGTGCGCGGCTCAGTTGCTGGTGTTCTGCCTGTCTGTTGTCCGTTTTTGTGAGGAAAAATATGGGTTTATGGTTGATTTATGTCTTTCAAAATGTTGTTATTCATACTCAGGGACTGGTTATCGTTGTTGTTTTTATTGTTTTGTCTATATGATATGTTAGTTCAACCTCACGGCCAAACCACATATTGAGATTGAAAGATTGAAATTGCCGATTAACGTCTTCATGTCTGCCGTTCAGCTCATGATCGATACCCCCACTTCTCCGGTGACCAGCGGGCTTCCTCTGTTCTTCGTCATCACCGTGACGGCGATAAAGCAGGTGAGGCCTGAGCTGTTACTCCACTGGTCAACAGGCTGGTCCTGAATCCACACACGCACACATCCACATCAGTGTTTCATTCCTTACTGTTTAAATCACTGTTAGGATGCCTTTTTAACAGGGTCTTCCCATCGCTGAGTTTTCCGAAAAGTGTTAGTTCTTAAGCTGTGGTTGAAACCAGTGCTTGACGGTTTAGATGTCCTTTCGAAGGTGTGGTACAGCAGCTTTCTTCACATGCCTTGTCAGTGTTGTTTCTTCACTTCTTTGCACGTTAAAATCCCTGCCTACCGTCCTGGCGCAGCGCTGACCTGTGCTGCAAGTAACATGCCATAGCAGGACATGCGTCTGTGCATGCATGCTGTCCTACAGCTGTGCTGCCGCTGATCCCCGCAGGGTTACGAGGACTGGCTGCGGCACAAAGCGGACAACGAGGTCAACGGAGCCCCGGTGTACGTGGTCCGCAGCGGAGGCCTGGTGCAGACGAGGTCCAAGAACATCCGGGTGAGCCCAGGGTTCGAGGGAGGCTCCTGTCCATGTGCGCCCCTGACCTCCGGCTAGAACAGATGTGTGGAGAGAAACCCCCAACTCTTCTCTTTACCCAACATATTGTAGTGCTGCAAAACATGCCAGTTTTTTTTTTTACCAGTGTTGATTTTGTGTCAGAATATAATAATAATAATTGCTTACACTTATATAGCGCTTTTCTGGACACTCCACTCAAAGCGCTTTACAGGTAATGGGAACTCCCCTCCACCACCACCAATGTGCAGCATCCACCTGGATGAATATAGTGTTGATTTCTTTTAAAATTTAAAACAGAGCCTGAATGTCAATTCATAGTTTTTTTTTTAAAACAACATACCATGTCAAAATTGCCTGTCTCTTCTCTTGTAGGTTGGGGATATTGTTCAAGTAGCCAAAGATGAAACCTTCCCTGCCGATTTAGTGCTGCTGTCGTCTGACAGACTGGAGGGGACGTGCCACATAACCACGGCCAGCTTGGACGGAGAGACGAACTTGAAGGTCGGTGTTGTCCTTCTTATCTGAAAAGGAATAGCTAGAGAGACTTTGAGGGGGAAAAAGAAAAACAAGACCATGGTAAATGATATCCTTTGAGGGACTACTTTGCATTCATTTTTGATAACTGTTTTTCACAATTAAATATTTTATCTGTGTAGTTGTTTGTACGCAGATGGTTTCAAGTAATATCTGACCCTTTTCCTGATTGACATTTGTTACTTTTTTCAATTAGAATCGCCAGCTGGTCTATATCCACCCTGTTAGTTTTTATCAATAAAAATAAGTTTTTACAGTTGTGTGTTTTTCATGCCTTGGGCTGCGCACATGCGTCATGTAGGCCGTTGTCTCCGGCCTGCCCACTTCAAGCCACTGCTCTTCTGACACGTCTCGGCCAGCACAGCCCTGCTGCTCGCACCGGAGTGCTCTCCCCCACAGCACCGCACGTGTGCCAGAGAGCCCTGGCCCGCTGAACCCCAGCATCACTGCTCGGGGAGTCCCTGTCAAATTCGGCTATTGACGTGACCCAGGCTCGAGCCCGTGACTGTGTGACCCTGATCTGCACTCGGCCATGTGCCTTTACTGGCTTTCTCGGGAGGCCCCAGTGTTAAAACCACAAAGGCGTTAAGGGTCAAGACAAACGTAGCTTTATTCTTTCCTTGCGATAGCTGTTGGACTCTCACTTGTCATTTTTGTTAGTGCTGTTAACCTGGGAGATGCCAGCTTGAATTCAGCGTAAGGGTCCATCCTCCAGGCTACTTGTTCATCTGACTTCTCTCATGGCTGCTAACGAAACCCCTTTCTCAGGTGCTTCCATTGCAGTGGGCTTTGAGTCACTTCAGACAGACAGAAGCCTCAAGGGCACAAGTTTGCATTAAAAATTGTGATAATCTATGTGGCTAATGTGAAACACTATCTGTTTTTAACAGCTTGTTAGGATGCGTGCGATAAAAGATTGCTACCATACTTCTCACTGAAGCAGCGTCTGGTGATTCCAATGTTTTATTTTTCGGAAACCCCGGTTTAACGAGGGCGAACATCTTGTCCCTGCAGACACATTTTGCCGTCCCCGAGACGGCGGTGTCGCAGTCCATCTCCCAGCTGGAGGCGCTGGTGGCTGTCGTGGAATGCCAGCAGCCAGAGGCAGACCTGTACAGGTACGTGGAAGTATAATGTGCCCTTCATAGCTGTGCTATCAATAATCATATCAATGCTATCAACACTGAACTGCTGTTCTTGATCGATCAAGATAACTTGAAGATGGATTGCATTTAAAAAATTCTCCCTTTCCTGTATAATCTCTTGCCGATGTGGCTCAGTTTTTAAATTTGGATTTACTGAGACTCTGAGTTATGGGGAGCGGGAACATGCTACGCTGTTGAATCTGAGGATTGTGTTGCAGGTGACACGACGTTCTTAATCCCTTGCACTGGCTAAAAAAAAAACTTTTCTGTTCAGGTTTGTCGGAAGGATAACCATAACCCAGCAGGGTGAAGAAATTGTGAGGTAAGATTTGTTTGTTCAAGAGCTCGAGGTTCTCACGGTTATAAATGCAGAACAGGACTGTTATTATGCTGCCGTCGGCTACTGACACAGCAGAGATGGTTGAGGGATTCCTCCAAAGCAGATGTTAAAAACTCTTCCTGCCTGTCCACCCATATTGAAATACTCATTAATCTGAATGGATGCTTGGTCTGACGTGTTTGTAATCTTCATTTCCGTTGCTGGTGTCGTTGCCTCAGACCCTTAGGACCAGAAAACCTGCTGCTGAGGGGGGCCAGACTGAAAAACACCAAAGAAATATTTGGTATGTTTCTCTAAATGCACTTCGCTCGGCTCGGGGCCTGTAATTGGTTTCAAGGGAAAATTAATTTAAACTGCATGAAGGTGAAAGAGGGCCTTCTGTAAAAGCTGAATAATTGATGCAGCGATCTGATTAAATGTTGACATTGACATTGCTCCTGAGAGCGAACGTCTAATTGGATCTTGTTTGCTTTGCCTTCGTGCACATCGTGCTGGAAGGTAGAAGCTCCTGCCTCAGTAGTTGCTTGTTGGCCTTGAGAGCTCAGCGGTGCCACGTGGACAGTAACTCTCCCGGGCTCGTTTCAGGTGTGGCCGTGTACACGGGGATGGAGACCAAGATGGCCTTGAACTACAAGTGCAAATCGCAGAAACGCTCCGCTGTGGAGAAGTAAGTTTGGGAAGTAGTTTACTTCCTTTGCAGGGAAAGAGTGTAAGAAAGTTTAAAGTCACGCAGACGTTCTCTGGCCTGTTGGATTGCAAGATCAGAGCATCCTGTCCAGCCATTCCTTGAAAAAGTTTGTCTCCTGAAATGTGGCAGGGCTGCCTGGTCTACACCCACCTTCCTTTGCAGCTTGCCAGGATGGTACTAGAGCTGCATCAACAGATTGTTTGGATGATGTTTTCTGGGAGGTCAGAGTGGCGCAGATTAGCATGAAAACTTTCACCTGTTCTCATAATTGGAGTAAACTGACAAGTCACACACAGCAACACTGGTGCGTAAACTACAGCTGCAACTCTGCCTGGTACAGCAAAACCTAAGAATCAAATGATTTCTTCCAGCTCCCGCTATTCATAACTGAAGTGTGTTTTCAGATAAACACCAGCCTCTTCTCTCCCACTTAAGGTCCATGAACACGTTTCTCATCATTTACCTGGGCATCCTGCTGTTTGAGGCCGTGGTCAGCACCATCCTGAAGTACGCCTGGCAAGCAGAGCCGAAGTGGAACGAGCCTTGGTACAACGAGAAGACCGAGCAGGAGAGGAACAGCAGCCAAGTAAGTGTGACGAGAGCTGGCAAGCCTGCCATCCGAGGGCGTGATGCCAACCTAATCGCCCCCACAGCGGGCGTGGCGCCCCCTGTGAGCAAGAGGCAGCTGCTCATCTTGCAGGCGATCACGCAGGTGCTGTTCCCAATTCAGTTTTTGCGGAATCAGAAGAGGGCAGCTAAAGTTGATACAAAATTCGGCTTTCTCATCCTGCGTCTCGCTCCTAGTAGCTGAAGAAGATGTGTGCTTTTTGTTCCTGCATCACAGTTTGCTTTATCGCAGATTTGTGCGCCGTATCGCAGTTAAAAGCACTGCTTGTGAACTTTCCCCGACGTGCCTTCTTGAATTCTTTCTCGATGGACGGGATCTGCCTTGCCAGCACATGCAGCCTTAGAACATCTCGTTTTGAAGCAGGCGTCCCTGATGAAAGTCGCCCCCCGCTACACGACATTCCGCACTTCGCACATGGTGGTAAAAAATTCCCAGCACGTGTCTTTTTTTAAGGCACCAAAAGCCAGCAGTCCAGTGCTTTGTGGATTATTCTGTTCTGGAAATGAAAAAATATTGTGAAGATAAAAATCCAACATTGCAGATTCTTGTGGAGACTGCTGTTGCGCGCATCTTAGACTACAAATCATTAAGGCCCAGCATTAAAAGTTAAGCATCAGTGGTCCAACCAGTGGATCAAGGTCTGATCATTAACATCAAATGCTAAAACAGTGTTTGAAAAACATCTGCCCTGAAGCAGCAGAATGACCTTGTTGGTTTAGACAAGACCACAATTCAGAAGGAGTTGGTGACGCTGTCTTTGTTTTAGGTACATTACTTGTGTGCACCCCTGTGCTCAAGCTAATTACATTGTTCTTTACAGATATTAATTCCCTCTTCAGAGTCATTTCACAATACGTTGCATTATTTAAGAATGTAACCTGGACTAATGCCGCCCTCTGTGCTGTATTCGTTAAGCTACAAGTGAAACACACACTCAGTCTAACTCACAGTCTCTCGCAGGACCTTCTTCTAGACTGAAAGCTTCTCAGTCGCCTGGGCGAGGATCGTGCTCTTCCAGTTCTGAGCCCTCCACATTGACATTGTTCCTATGGGGAACATGCTTTTATTTTGCTATGTGTCATGACTTTCTGATCCCTCACCCCGATGTAGATCAGGGGCTGCCTGATGTGTTTGAGAGATCTCTTTTTCGCCGGCTCCTCTCCAGTTTTTCAGGGGTTTTTTTACAGGCACAACGAGGATTGTTTATTGATTAATTATTCATCCAGCTTGGCTGCAAAGACGCATCACCTCCACAAATGTTTCTGTTCAGTATCATACCCAACACCAGCTACTTGTTGTATGTGGTGAACCACCAATCATTGCAATAAATGAGTCAATGAATTAGAAAACGGAACAAAGCAAAGGAAATTCAACAAAGCTCAAAATGTATCCGCATGAAAGTACCAGTTTAGAGTTTAGACAGAGGGATGCTGACATGTGCTGATAGTGTGCAGACAGTGTGGAGTGGAAACACACTCAGTTAGAGCAGCACACAAGAGGCTGCAGACCGTGGGTGTGGGGCAGCATGAGTGCAGTTGCTCACGAACGATGACTGAAACATGGGGCCCTGCCTGCAGCTGCCCTGAATGCTTGCAAGTTGACAGCTTGACATATGGAGACCTATTAAGCATGTAAAGTCTAATTAGGTGTTCATAATGATTATCATGTGCTGAGGGGAAAGGCCTCAGGTGTGAGTGATGTATTTTTCTGTTATGTCAGGATAGCTCCAAGAGGGAGAATAACGGTTGTGGCAGCATCACAGCTGGTTACAACAGAAGGCCTACAAAACACACCCACGCAGAGGCTACAGCAGATGAGTCAAAATATTGTGACAAGGAATAAGAAAAAGTGTCTTTCAAAGCATTTGCTTGGCTTGGGTCTCTGACATTTGATATAATTCAATAACAAACCAGAGGCTGTATGCTGAAGATGGTTAAAAATGTGAGACATTTTTCCACAGCTCAGAAAGTAAAGCCTGAACTCTGTCCTTTTTATTGCATTACAGATTTTGAAGTTCATTTCGGATTTTCTTGCTTTCCTGGTGCTCTACAATTTCATTATCCCTATCTCGCTCTACGTGACTGTGGAGATGCAGAAGTTCCTAGGCTCCTTTTTCATTGGCTGGGACCTGGATCTCTACCACGAGGAGACAGACCAGAGGGCTCAGGTGAACACCTCTGACCTCAACGAGGAGCTGGGTCAGGTACGTGAGCGAACGTTCATGTTGAGCACAGGCTGCAGGATTCGTCTCGTCCCGCGCGTTTCCCTGCACTGCTGTGATGCCGTGCACACTCTGGGTCTCAGTCTGTTCTATTGCATGTTCCAGGTCGAGTATGTGTTCACCGACAAGACCGGGACTCTGACAGAGAATGAAATGGAGTTCCGCGAATGCTCCATAAACGGCATTAAGTACCAAGAGATTAACGGCAGGCTGGTCCCGGAAGGAATGATGGAAGACTCTCCAGACGGACCCTTGTCCAATCTGGTAACTGTCTGGTAACACCCGACGTCATCCCAGATTGTAAACACTGTCATATTTCAACAGGCCCATCTAAAAACGATGCTTAAGTTGAGCTAGTTATTGTTTTTTAGTCTTAATTTCTAACTGAAAAATACCAGAAAGGCCTAATTTCAACAGCAGCACAGGGCTGTGCAAAAGTGTCTTGATAAAAGCAAGAAGTTTTGCAACGAGAGTCCTGGCAAGGTGGTATCTTTCAGAGAAACGCGCGACTCCGCCTTGGGCGCCTGTGTCAGTGTGCAGTCTGTGATGTTGTTTCTGCCCGCCTGGCTTGCCGTGCAGAGCAGGGAGGAGGAGCTGTTCCTGAAGGCCGTGTCCCTGTGCCACACGGTGCAGATCAGCTACGACGAGATGGATGGTCCCACCGACGCGCTCCGGCAGGCCAACGGGATCACGCCCCAGATGGAGTACTACGCCTCCTCGCCAGACGAGAAAGCTTTAGTGGAGGCGACTAAAAGGTGAGGAAATTAATCGTACCTACTTGGCTCCAGGGATCGTGAAACTATAGATGTGCAACAGTAAGGATTTCCTGAGGTGACAAGGTCAATAATTCCCCATCTTCTTCCCGGCTGTGAGTTAGTCAGGTGGTGCATCATTACCTGTACTGGAAGTCGCCATTCCGCAAACCCGCCACGTTGTCTCGACGTCTCGCTCCTAGCAACCCCCTGTACACGGGTGTCCAAGCGTCTGGTATCGATCACTGTGGCACAACCCAGCCTCAAACCCTTAGAGCTCCAGCTTGAAAACTTGAAAGAGCCTTGCCCTTTCACATTAATCTTTCTAATTGGGAAGGTTTAATTGGTAGGATGGTTTAAACTCAGAAATACTGCTGCATTTACTTCAACAAAATACTGTTAAAGATGTGTGTCTATTTCTATTTCAAATGTTTGGATGTTTGGAGGGAGAGTCCCTTGAGATTTTTGGGCTTATAAAAGAAAATGTGAGTTACCTGTTACATCTTTAATACAATCTTTAATTTTTCTTACTAGTTTTACAGTATGCATTTTGATTTTTAAAGCAGTACATTTTGAAATTGTACATGAAGTAGTTTACCTTTTACAGTTACAAAGATTTCACAGTAATTTCACAGGATTCTTGTTGGAAAGGTGTGAAGATGTATTTTATTGCAGAAATTGTGAATATCATTGCGCAGACACCATTTAGAGTGTGTGACTTTGTGCATTTGGCTTCATTGCAGGATGGGAGTGTCCTTCGCAGGAAGCAATGGAGAAACTATGGAAATTAAAACATTTGGAAAATCCGAGAAGTAACCATTTTTGTTGTATTGATTGAATTATTACTGCAGATGAACCACTTTTCAAAAGATAAATATTTTTTTTCCAAATGCCACTCAAAGATTTATCGAAGCTTACCTTATGATCTTACTACTCAAAGCTTTTAATTTACTTTTTTCAGTTAAATCGCATAATGTTTTCCTGAGAGCAGGAAACTAATACAAAGCTTGGCAGAGAGTGGCAGCTCCTGAGAAACAAGCCTCTATTTGCAGGGACAGCGGGAGACGTGGCAATTACTGTCAGAACCCAGGATTTGCTCTTCCAGAGACTTTTCCATCATCTCTTATTGCACTCGATCACTTTTATTTTTAGTCACAGGGTAAAACATACATTGTTTTGAAATCTGTCTGTGGCATTTTGGAAGCTACATGTGAATCTCTTCTCATCTTTTTTTCACAGGTATAAACTGCTCCATGTTTTAGAGTTTGATGCGAATAGAAGAAGGATGAGCGTGCTGTTACAGACCCCATCAGGTTTGTGTGTTTTAGGTGGGGGGGGGGAAGATAAGTTTAACATTGCATTTTTTATTACAAGGCTGTGTTTAATTTGCAGGGGAAAAGATGCTGTTCACAAAGGGAGCGGAGTCGTCCATCCTGCCAAATACAAAAGGCGGAGAAATAGATAAAACGCGGATCCATGTGGATGAATTTGCATTGGTAATTAAGTTTTTTGTCATGTACCCGCAGTGCATTCACTATCCCTTACTACATGTGTCTGCCTGTGTATGTATCAGTTTATCTGCGTGGTGATCTATACCTGTCTCCTAGCAGTATTTCTACATTTCCATCTCTGGGCATGTCTTTCTTTCTATCTGTAAGTGCATCTGTCTTGGATCAGTTATCTACTACCAGCCAAAACAGCCTAGTTGACCTGGATGGCTTCCTCTTGTTTGCCACCTCTTATTTCCTCTCATCCTTGCGGTGCTTGCCGGCTACTACAGCAGAGGCACGGGGAAGTGCTGGTGTGCTCGTCGTGTCCCTGCCTGGTCTCGAGTGCCCACGTCGGTGGCACTCTTGCGTGATAGTCTTTCGTTGGCCAGCAAGCACGAGCTCCCACCAGCACGGGGTCCTTCAGCGGGCGCTGGCCCCAGGAGTACTGGCCGCAGAATTGGAACGGGCCGCTCGGTGCAAACCAGCCCTTCGTCTGTGGACAGCTGCGTGGCCTTGCCACTCGCACGTGCCGTTAAATTTCTTCTGCTCTTGTCCGGCTGCCCGCAGAAAGGCCTGAGGACCCTGGTGGTGGCCTGCAGGCGCTTCTCCGCGGAGGAGTACGAGGAGGTGGACCGGCGGCTCCACGAGGCCCGGACGGCTCTCCAGCAGCGGGACGAGCGCCTGGCCGAGGTCTTCAGCTTCATCGAGAGGGACCTGGAGCTGCTGGGGGCCACCGGGGTGGAGGACAAGTAGGAGCCCGGGCGCACGTTCCTCTGCAGTGCACCTTCGCCTGCCCCCTGCCCTCTCCAGATTCGCTGGGAGCAATGCCAGATGGAGCTGGATGATCATGAGTGCCCTGCATTCTCTAGCGTAAAAGCAGTGGCTGTGTTCTCCCTGTCTGCAGTACCCTGATCATCCATCTTCCCTGTACTTCCATTATCTTTGATTTCAAATGTGAAGCGTTGATCATTTAATATCAGAAACATGAATGACTGCCTTCCACCTTACCATAAAGCTGAAGGAGCAGCCCTGCGGATGACACACGCTGTGTGGCAGTCACTGTAATATTCTTTCTAATGTCCAGCAAGGGGAGGTTGAGGGTGTAGTAAGGAGGAAAAGGCCATCAGTGTATCTGTTTTATTTGCTCTTTATTACTCGTTCACAAATATGATCCACTTGTGTGATCAGAATAATGGCTTCCTATAGCCTTCCTGTAATGGCTTTCCCTGTAGAGGAAAGAGACTTCAAAGAAACATTATTTTACATCATGTTCCCAAAAAGGATCATTCTCTTTAATTCTTTCATTGTTCTTTGTTGCACTGAAAACCTGTTGACAGAATAATCCTGAAATTAAAGTATCTGAATTGTCCCTGAAGCTGCATAAAGCAAGAGTGGTCACTCAGCTACATGAGCTAACAGCGGCTAAACATTTGTCTCAGTGCTTTGAAAGTAGAGGAAAAATGGCTAATCAGGCTAATTAGACATTTTGTTACCTAGTAATCACCCTTTTTTCAATTAATTTGAAGTTTTATCCCTGTGTTCTCAGTGACATATGTATCAGATATAATATCTAATATCTCTACCGCTGAAGTGATAAGTGTTCAAATGAGGATTATGGTAGTGGCTGGTCTGCTGGGCTCTGACAGAATGGCTGTGTGTGCAGATTGCAGGAGAAGGTGCAGGAGACTATCGAGGCCCTGAGGCTGGCCGGGATCAAGGTGTGGGTGCTGACGGGGGACAAGCACGAGACGGCCGTCAGCGTCAGCCTGTCCTGCGGTCACTTCCACAGGACCATGAACATCCTGGAGCTCCTCCAGCAGAAATCGGACAACGAATGTGCCGAGCAGCTGAGGAGGCTTGCCAGAAGGTAAGTCCGACTGCTCTCGTTTTTCTGTAACCTGTCGGGCTGAAACGCTCTGCCCAGCTTCATTGCTGAAGCTGCTCCTCTGGCTTCTTTCAAGTGAAATCTTTTAGTTCAATTAGCCACTAGCAGCCAATCGAGCTAAGTGCTCTGACTGAGCTCCTCTTGCTTGTCAACATTCTTATGGTCTGATGTTCGTTTCTATTTTGCTAATTTGACACCAGCCGCAAGGGCTGGCTTTGGTGTTCCCTGGGAGACGCAGGTTTAAGACAATTGTTCATCATCGTCTCCTGACAGATTTGTTCTGCGTGAAAGCAACGCTACGTTACTCTCGCATTTCTTTATGCAGGGCAATGAATTGCTTTTGTAGGCTGTTCTCTTCTTGTCCTCAGGGGTCTCCAGGAGGCTCTGTAATGTGATATATGGGGGAACTGGTTTTCATAATTTTGCTAGAATAAACCTGGAGCCATTTATTTTCTTGTTACTGCAGTGTTACATAATAAGCAACTGTGAACTGAGTATTGCGTTGCATATTGTGTAACACTATAATAACAAGAAAATTAGTGAAGATTTGATTTGTCTTCCCCTTTTTTCTGGGGCAGAAGAACTCAATGGAAATATTCTTAAAGAGAAAAGGAGTGCTTTACGCTTCAGATTAGGCTTTGGGTTTGGGTGATTGTGATGGCACACAAGGGTCACCAAACTGCCTTGTTAACTATGTTTTGCTTGGCAGCTCATAGTGACCACAGGTGGACGAGATGTAACGTGGAGCTGCATGTTGATCCTGATTTCCACTGTCTCGGTGCACGGCACTTGCTATCGAAGGTTTTGAAGTGAGCGCGCTCTCGGGCGTTTTGATCCGACTTCTTTGCCTTGGCTGCTCTGGGCTGAGGAGGGCCTTTGTGTTTGCATGCAGAATTAAGGAAGACCATGTGATCCAGCACGGCCTGGTGGTGGACGGAGCCAGCCTGTCTCTGGCGCTCAGGGAACACGAGAGGTTGTTCATGGAGGTCTGCCGGAACTGCTCGGCGGTGCTCTGCTGCCGCATGGCTCCCCTGCAGAAAGCAAAAGTAGGAAAATTGCGTTTGTTTCCTTGCGTTTCCTCAGACTTAGAGGGCAAGAGGCCGAGACCGGGAAGACAGCCTGAGAGTTAGAGGAGTGTTAACCGTGTATTTCTTCATGCTGATGCCATGGTCCTTCAAAATCCAGACGACTTGCAATTTTTCTTTGACAGAACAATTAATGAAATCATCAGAAATTGTGAGAAAGTAGTTATTCTAATGTAGACTTTACATGGTATGTAAAAATAATCTGGTTGGCATTGTAAGTGCAATTGCCAAGCATTTAGAACAGGCAACAAGTGAGATATAGTTTGTAAGTTCTGTTTAATAATAGGGCACCTTCTGTGAGTTGACATGATCTGAATGTGTTGCTCAGTGTACATGGATGTGCATTGAATCTCTGGCTTTGCTCCATGTTTCACAGGTCGTGAGGCTGATAAAGACGTGCCCGGAGAAGCCCATTACCTTGGCAATTGGAGATGGAGCCAATGATGTCAGTATGATTCAGGAAGCCCATGTTGGGATCGGTAAGTATGGCTCAGATTTTTAAGGATATTTACAAACGAGCATCTTCCCTAGTGGTTTTAACTTAATGCCTGCACTTTTTTATGGTATGTTCTCAGCGCTCACCCCTATGTGCCCTCAAAAGAAATTGATAATCCATTCATGCAAATTCAGTTGTTTTTTTACATCAGTTAAAATATGAAATTGATTCATGTTCCTACATGTCTATTTATCATTTTTTGGCACTTTTTCTGATTTTTGTTGTATACCTGCCCACTCCCTACCCAAAACCGCCAGTTTTGATTTCATCTCTTGGCTCACAGCTATGGGCCCATGGAGAGTGAGGACGGTAGTTAGTCGCCTCAGAGTCTCCCTGTTTTCCCATGTTCACCCTGTGCCAGAGCTTCAGTGCTGATTGAAGGAGAGGCCTGTCCCTCACCGAGAGCGCCACCCTCCCGCAGGGGCCCGAGAAGCCACAGGGGGCGCTGTTTCACCAGGAGCTAACAGAGCCCTGGCTTGGGCGTCCCCGTCAGTCAGATAGTGACATGACCCTGACTGGAAAGCTGTTATTAATAATGATAATAATAATAATGGGGTTTATTAGGAGGCCATGATTGGTAATGGCCAATGGGAATTTTGGTTAATCACAGAGAGTCAGGACCTCGGTTTTACGTCTCATCCGAAGGACGGCACCTGTTTACAGTATAGTGTCCCCATCACTATACTGGGGCATTAGGACCCACATGGACCACAGGGTGAGCGCCCCCTGCTGGCCCCACTAACACCTCTTCCAGCAGCAACCTTAGTTTCTCCCCAGGAGGTCTCCCATCCAGGTACTGCCCAGGCTCACACCTGCTGAGCTTCAGTGGGTTGCCAGTTGTGAGTTGCAGAGTTGGGGGAGCACCTTCATCAGCTTAGCAAAGATCATGTGGTGACTCGTTACTGTGTGTTGATATTGATATTGTCACCAGGGGGATTGGTTACAATGGCCGAGAAACATTATGTACAGTACGAGGACGGCTATGTGTGGCTGTGATGGATGTGACCACTTCAGTACGATCCTGGCATCACTCTCGTGCTAAAGCTGTCAAGAAAGAACAGAAACCAAAGAAAAAGACTTCACTTTAGGCTACAGTGTTAATACTGCTGAATGCAACAGTGTTCGACACTTGACTCTTGAATACACATGCGTTGCCCCGAATATTGTCTCTCCTAAGCGAAGGGAAATGGTGCTGAATGATTAACCGGATCGTTTGTCCAGCTCACAGTGGAACACAGCCTCAGTAAAGACAGACGCACACCCACTGGCGTGCTCTGTTGTGCGTTTTGGTTTGGAGGAAATCAGCTTGTGACTCGAATTCCCTTCTGCTTATTTCAGGAATCATGGGCAAAGAGGGACGACAGGCAGTGAGAAACAGTGACTATGCAATTGCAAGGTTTAAATTCCTTGCTAAGCTACTGCTGGTCCACGGCCACTTCTACTACATTAGAATAGCAACCCTTGTACAGTACTTTTTCTACAAGGTAAGTAGTGGGAGGTTTTATTCTGCCTTCACTGGTTCCAATTTAAGTTTAATGGATTGTGTTTATCAGATAAAACATTTAAGTATTTTCCTTTAATTCTTATTTTCTGTTTTTTTTTTTAGAATGTGTGTTTTATCACACCCCAGTTTTTATACCAGTTCTTCTGTCTATTTTCGCAGCAAGTAAGTGTCCTCAGGTGGATCTTTATTCCTCTCTGTACCTGTTGTTAGGAAATTCCTGCCATCCCATTCAGTGTTTGCAAAGGTGCCACACATAAGTATAGCTTGCTCTGCAATATTAATTCTACTTCACTTCTTCTGGAAATTAAACTGAAAGCCTTACAAAAACATAAACATTTTAATCTGCCCGTGGTGACTGAAATTTAGTATTGTGAAATATTGATGTGACACGGAAACAAACATTAAATATTGGAGACAGAAATGTTGTGAGTTGCTTCATCTTTCATGACCATAGCCCCGAGAAACTTCAATAGCAGCATGATGGTCATGTTTTAACATGCAACCAAGGCAGCTGATGTCCCTTGTGTCCACTTCACAGAATGAGTTAGCCAATGTTTCTTGCTACCCTGAAGCCAAAGCCCCCTTGTGCGCTCGTCCCAGTGCCTAAAGGACATGACCTGACAGAACTGTTTTGTTTTCCAGACCCTTTATGACAGTGTTTATCTCACCCTGTACAACATCTGTTTCACCTCTCTGCCCATTCTGGTGTACAGCCTCTTTGAGCAGCTGGTTCACCCCCACGTGCTGCAGAGCAAGCCAGCGCTGTACAGGTGGGTCCTAGTAGTGTTGTTAAAATTGCAAGGTGACGGTTCCTGCTTGTCCGTTAGTTTATGCTTCACAGTTATTTTTCCGTAACAGTCAGATATACAGTTATCTGTTAAGTGTCTACTGATTTTGACTGAGGTGACGAGATCGGTGTGGTTGCAGTGTGTATCTGAGTAACTTCTTGAAGAATAGTTAAAAAATAGAAATATTAGTTTTGCTGTATTGTATCGGTTATGTGAATATCTGCTGGTGGACTGCTGCTTGATTTGCTTACTGTGGCAAATCAACACACAAGGCTTTCTTTTTTTGTCCTGCAGATTCTTTTATATACATGTTCTTTTTAATTTTTTCTACACTGAGACTTGTTATTTACCTGTTACAGGTCAGTACTTACAAAGAAAAGTTTGCAGTTTGCAGAGGTGTCAGAAAAGAGATGAAGCAGGAATTTCTGTCAGAAACTGTGTGTCTGATTGAGACAGAATGTACCTAATTGACATTAATTTTAATTTGCGGTATTTTTCACATTTGTACGAATCTTTGTTTTCCTCTCCCTATCCCAACAGAGACATCAGCAAAAACTCCACCCTCTCCTTCAAAACCTTTCTGTACTGGACAGTGCTGGGGTTCTCGCATGCCTTTGCCTTCTTCTTCGGCTCTTACATCCTCATGGGGGAGGACACCTCCCTGATGGGCAACGGACAGGTGAGCTCTGGGTTTCGGCTGGTGGCCACACAGTTGTGCACGAACACATTCTGCAGTGTTGGCATTGACCTGCAATACAGAAAAATAAAGTTTTGAAACGACAGAAAACCCTGTAGGGTTAATAACACAAGACGAATCAAAACAGTCAGAGCACCTACCAGAACTGAATTTTCTTAGGGTAAGAAGTAAACTCCTCCATGCTGAAAAGAGCAGAACACAAACACGACATCTCAGCCCTAGAGCCTTCTTCAGGTGATGAAATGATGTGTTTCTTTTCTTCTGTCTTCAGCATGGAATACACCTTTATCTATTCCTTTGCAGCCTACACATGCTGACGCAGTTCCCTACTTGATTTTCTCAAACTGCAGCTTCCTCTTCTCCTCCAGTAGTCTTTCTGTCTGGAGGGGTGCTGGGGTTCTATCTTGACCTTTCTTTCTTTCATTAAACTGGCTTCCAGGTTTTGTTAAAATTCTGTGGCTGGGTTTAGTGTTTCTGTTGTTCATTTTTAATAGTAGAATTCACTAGCATAGCACTGGTCCCACTGCAAGGCGATGGCAACGGCCTCGCTGCTGTGAGCAATGAAGCCACCCGCAGGCTGCAGGAGAGCTGCTCTGTGGGCTGCACTCTGGGGAACAGCAGCTTTCACACAAGGGCACTGTCCTGCTAGCTGCTTACCTGTAGATTTGAAGCCAGTAAACTGCAAGTTCTGGCCTGAAGTTGCAAAAGGTCCATACAGTCAAATGAAGTAATATGGTCAGTGCAGTAATCTGCTTAACGTCCGAACAATAGCTCTAGAACTATTAATATAAATATTGGCACCCACCATCTTCATTGTGAAGATGAGTGCACAATAAGGTTAAAAGAGGTATCATTGAAAAATGTTCATGTAGAAAACTTTTGCACTTCATGGATTTGTGAATAATCTTGATTCAGAGTACTGATACTTGTGCCGGTTACTTGAGTCCAGAGTTCTGTTATCAGGTTGACTCACTAAGAGAACTGAAAGACTTTGTCTTTATCTCCAGGGTCACATGTTTGTTCAGGCAGGGGCGACTCATGTTTTAAAAATGGTTTCTGAGAGGTGCTCTGTGTACTGAAGACACTTCCCTTTTCTTACAGCCTCTCACAGTCTTCGGGCATTCACTGTCTTGCCTTCCTTGCCTGTTTCTTTCATTTTTCTTTTCTCCCTCTTTTGCACCCATGCATGCCTTCAGGTCTTGAGAGCTAACAGACAACTGGTAAGAGCAGACTAGATCAGATTTGATACATGTTCTGTTCTAACAATCATCTGCCACTGTCACCAGCTTCCTAAACTGGATTTAGTTCCTTCAGTGTTTGTTGTGCATGTGAAACGTTGAAACTGGACCTTCTGTCTTAATCACGTACTGTTTCATCATCTGTTCCTTGAACTTCTTGCGATTCTTCTTTGATATTTGTGAATTTTGTTGGACCTGTAATACGTTCTTCTCCTTTGATGTCAAATACTAATTCAAAAGCTTTGTTTCTGTAGTTTTTGGTAATTCAACCTTCCAGTAATAAAATAATAAGGCACATTAATTCTTGATATTAGATATTATTATTTGTAAATTATATTTAAGTAAATAAGGTTTCTGGCATTACTGTGCAATAATATTTTGAACTAATGGCATTTAATTTATTTTTTCCCCTCCATATTCAGATGTTTGGGAACTGGACATTTGGCACTTTAGTATTCACAGTAATGGTCATTACAGTTACGCTAAAGGTAAATAGTCTTTCATTCTTTGCACATTAAACAAAAATGAGATTGTTACAGTCGATTGTAAAGTAACTGTGACTCTTGCTCCTGTTTCACAAGCTGGCTCTGGAGACTCACTTCTGGACATGGATGAATCACTTTGTGACATGGGGCTCCATCGCCTTTTACTTCATCTTCTCCTTGTTTTATGGGGGAATTATTTGGTAAAGTATTGAACAGTGTTGAGATCTGTGTGTAAACCTTCATTTTCGTGGGTCCCCTCATATGTGCTGTGTGTTGTATACTTCCATGAGACTACAGTAAACCCTCAGTTTGAAAAATCATTGAAAGGCCTGTTAAGAAATGTCATCCTTTTCCTGCAATTGCAACCATAGTACAGAAAAAGTGTTATAGGGACATAAAACTGTTTACAGTCAGTGTTGTTTGTGTCTCAGATGCTTTAGTGGAGTTTTACAAAACAATACATTTAAAAATTACACTAATATGTAAACTGTGTGTACAAATAACAAAGCAAGGTAAAAATAACTTTTAGGTAGGCTTAAAATTCAGGAATATCAATTGTGACCTGTAGGAGTTGGTCGGCTGCTTATGATGGATCTTTTTTGTGTTATGTAGACTTTAGAGAATTTTATAGGTTTTTTTTACAACACCTGAAATAAAAAGCTGATATTGTATATTCATGATAAAAAGGCACAGGGACAATTTTCATTCCCTGTGTTGGTTTCAATTATTTAAAAAATCTCAAAAGACCCAGACAGCATATATATAGTATATTTTTTTGCTCATAAAAGTTATTTTAAACTGAAAAGACGTCATTTGTGATTTAACAAGCATCGGGCAATAATAGACACCCCTTTCCCCCTTTACCCCTTTACTGTATAGGTTTTCATTAAGAGGCAGACCTGTTTAATATTAGTTTCCCCTGTCTGACGTGTTTTAGTATGTTTTCCTGGTTTTCACAGTAGGTCCGGGTCTCGGCTAGTGCTGATCAGAATTGGACTGGAGAGGGCACACACTGCAACACTGTCCTTGATCTGGGAGGCTGGAGCCCTAGACTTAAGCCTGTTGGACTGTGTGTACACCTAAGACAGTCTGACAGTGTGGTGAGATTGGGAGTGCTGAGAGGCAGGAGACACAGCAGGTGCAGGGAGGACCTTAGTGCAGCGGCTGCAGCACTGCAGGAGACA